ATCTAATTGATTTAGCTCAAAGTAAACAGCTGAAGAACTTGAGAAGGTTACTGTCAAACCACAGGGTACCTGGGCTGGATGGGGCTGTGAGCAACCTGGTCTGGTGGGTGGTGTCCCCTCCTACAGCAGGGAGGTTGGAACTAGATGAGCTTAAAAGTCCCTTCCAACCGAAACCATTCTATGATTCCATGATAATTTGAACAAAACCATAGAGGTCTGATGAACGTCTCATCTACCCACCTTCTTGTGACCCGATGATGTCTATCAGATAGCCATACTCCTCCACAATGCGGTCCTCAATGGCTCTTTTTCCCATCCCGAAGTCTCGTAAGGTTGTGAGAGTAAATCTTCGCATCACTTTCCAGTTTTCACCGTGAGCAAAAACAATCCCTGACACACAGAGGAGATTCCAAGGCAGTGGCAGATTTAGAGTAAATAGTTTGCAGAGAAATGACATAGGCAGCAATAGCAGCGAGTTTGGAAACAGGTTAAATTCTGTCTGACTGAGGTAATAAAAGTTTCCCTGAATTTGTTCAGACTTCAACAAAAGACAGAAAAACAAAATTTGGTTCAATATTCGAATAGATCCACTGAACTCAATGAGGTTATGACTCCCTATTTCCTGCGCCTTATATTTTCTCTCATTCTAAGTGATGTGACATCCTCTGCTTTTTAAGTAGGAAACAGAGTTTTTTGATTAGGAAAAAGAAAGCCAACTTACCATTTCCTCTGGTCAGATCTTCAAAGATGGGGATTTTAGGTCGCTCTGCAAACGCATCTGCCTGGTTTATGAGAGCTTCCTTCACTGTCTCATACCCAGAGATCACTACTATTTTCCTTTGCCCCATCTGAACGCTGAAGACAGGACCATATTCTTTTGACAGCTGGCAGAAGATAACAGTGATTTACAACTTCTGCAACCTACAAATTCACCATTTTTTCAGTGCTGCTTATTGACCTGCCTTGTCCATAAGTTATGAAAATGTTTTCCTAAGCAGTTTTGCCTAAGCTGGTACCTTTTTAGCTTAGTTTATTTTTACTTAACACAATGTTCTTGGTTCTCCTGACAATATGAGGTGGTCTGCATGACTGATCTTCCTTTCTAGAGTGTTTGTACAGGGAATCTGAAGGTAAGCATTTAGCACTGGCAGTCAAAGCCATCAGCAGCCATTAAGCAAGTGCCAGCACCTATACAGAATGACATAACAGCATTGACATGTGTGTGAATTAAGGGCAGTGCCTTGGGTGGGGGTACTGTCATACCAGACTCTTGTAGCTGCAGCAGAATTTGATCTTTACAGAGGGTTTTCCTCACTAACAGCCTTCTGCCATTTGCAATGTTGACACTGAAGGTGAACATATAGTTCCCAGTTGTGTTTATGCACAGAATATGTGTGAATTCTAAGCCTTGAACTGAGCTCAAGTTGGGGGATCAGCTGTCTGATAGAATAGACACAGCAATTACAGCAAAGATATAGTGGTTCCATTGACCTGAAAGGAGATGGAGCCTGCTTTTGCCAAGCCAGTTAAATTGCATGGGATATCTGCAAATTATTTTCCAAAACTGCATCTCAGTGTTCTTTCAAATCTGTGGTTGTGACATTCATGCAGACATGTAGGTACAAATATTTCATTTAAAATCATCACTGAGGAGAAGGGAAATTCTCTGGCATCTTTGGCTATGCACTTATGTGTGATTATGTGAACTATAGGATCATAGAATATCCTGAAGAATAGAATAGGATATCCTGGGAGCGATCCACAGGGATCGTTTGATCCAGCATTGAGTCCAGCATAAAAGATAATGGCTACCTGTAGATAAGTCCTGTAGGGTCTCTTCAAATCAAACAAATGAAGATTTCCAATGATGGGTAAGGCCCTTGGTCCTGGGGGAAGCTTCTTTCTCTGGTGGTTACTCCAGACACCTCCAATTTTCATAATGAACAAAAAAGTCAGGATGAACACTAAAGCCATGGTCGTGCAGTTGCTCCAGTCCATCTCTATTCAGCAGAGTGTTACTACAAAAGAGACAAGAGAAAATGCAAAGTCTGGATTTCTGTCTTCTTGGAAAAAAAGAAAGAAAAAAAGAGAAACACTAGTCCATAAACCTCTATTCCAGTTAGGGGTATTGCACTTTGTGACTAGCTTGTTCTCTTTCCCTGTGCCTGTTAATGAGTACCAGTATGGTACAGATTCAGTTAAATATTTACCAAGCCTGTGTGATCGGGTGACCATCCATCATTGCCCAATAATGATAGCCCAGATGTCATGAATCTGGTGTTTGATATCAAAGTCATGAATTCTGCATGTCATTCAGCTTACTGATAGTTAGATTTTCACCCTTGTTACAGGCACAGCGTTGTTACCCTAAGTGCTGAAATCAGAATGCCAACACCCAAGTGATTAATACACAGAGATATTTTTGCTAAGTGCTTAGGCAATTTTGTAACTTTGCTCTCATTGGATTGTTTGGGAATTTCAAATCACACAGTCATGGAATCATTGACAGTGACAGGGACCTCTGGAAGTCATCTGATCCAATCCCCTCCCTCATGCAGGAGCACCTGGAACTACTTGCCCAGTGATCTACAGAAGGCTCTTGAACATCTCCAAAGAGAAGAGTCCACAGGCTTTTTGGGAAACCTGTGCAGTTAACAACATTTTATTTATGTGTGTTGTATTTAAAATATAGAGCTTTATCTTTGAGGTAGGCAATTAAACATCCATGGTTACCAGTGTGG